TCTATCTATCTATCTATCTATCTATCTATCTATCTATCTATCTATCTATCTATCTATCTATCTATCTATCTATCTATCTATCTATCTATCTATCTATCTATCTATCTATCTATCTATCTATCTATCTATCTATCTATCTATCTATCTATCTATCTATCTATCTATCTATCTATCTATCTATCTATCTATCTATCTACTTCTAAAGCCACCCACCTCAGTGAGTGACTAGTAAATTTATCAAATTTACCAGATTATATAACCAGAAACACTTGCTTGAGATAGGTGGCAACAAAAAATAAATAAATAAATAAATAACTGAATTAATGTTGGCATTTGTTTCTCAATCAATTTTTTTCCTCATATGTTATTAAAAGTGACTCCTTTGTCAAGAGCTCCATTTGCTCTTGAATCAAATTTTTACCAAGGATTGCTACAAATCCCTTACCCACAGAGTTTGAGTTATAATAATCTGTGTCACTTTCAGCTGATGTACGTGTGTGCAAGCATTCTTTATACCTGGTGCAGTTTTAGTGACATCCGTATCCCAGGGACCACCACTTTCCTCAGTAATTCCATGTCTGCAAAAATCCATTCATCTCGCATTGATGATATACGAAAGTCTCCTTTAAACAAGGCATGGAGCCCATACAGGAAAGATTCCAGATTACTGTTTGATTTGGGAGAGAAACCCCAAACATTAAAGCAAGCATTCAGCATTCTAAAATTAGTTGAAGAAAGTAAGACTTTCATTTCTATATAAACACTGTGGATTGCCAAGGCAAATTTAAATTGCCATCATAAACAAATATAAATCAGGAGCATTTTTAAAAAAAACCTGACAACCATTCTTCAATTCCTCATCTGTTCTGGCTATGTATTCAAGCAATGGCTGAAACACTAAAGGAAAACTAATCATCCTCAAATTACTTGGCAGAAAAGTGGCATACATTCTTTGGATTAATGAGAACAGCAGTAGTTTTATCTGGAAACTTCCATTACCTTGTACTTTGGAGTTATTTACTGAATAAGCACCTGGCCTATTTGCTAACAAATTATTTCTGTGTCTCAGAGTCTTTCACTTTCTTCAAAATCAATTTTATACTTATTTTGTTCTTGAAGTTAAAGGAAAGATTTCTGATGTTCCCCATCATCATTCATTCACCATGTGTGTTAAATGTCTTTATTCATTTTACAACAGACTGACAATTCTAGTGGAGAATATATGTAGCCCAGAGTTGAATTATTGGGTTCTTGGCATTCTCCAAGTTTCCTTTTCTTCTTCTCGATGTTTATAAATTGAGCTTGTCTCAAATACCAACTCAGTGCTGGTCAATGACTATAATAGAAACAAAAGATCTAAAAATGCAAGTATATTCTTTACAGCAGTGTTTTTCAACCTTCACAGCTTGAAGATGTATGGACTTCAGCTTCCAGAATTCTGTTAGTTGAAGTCCACATATTTTCAAGATGCCAGATTGAGAAACACTGCTTTAAAGTTCACTCTGAGAAATTAGCCATTAACAGACATACTGAGATAAGGTCTAGCTATGAGCCATTCCAAAAAGGAAGCAACCAAAAATCAAAGAAAGGGGCAAACAGATCTAAGTACATCCGTCATCATTCTGCACTTATTAACCAATGCCAGAACAGGGACCAGCACTAAATCAACAACCAAAGAAGAAACAAATACACTAATTAAAGCAGGCAGCAAACTTCACCATGCACTGATAAGGTTAGCTAGGCTGGCCATAAAATATTTGGATGGAGAAAAGCAAGTTTAGAGAATGCTAAGGGCCTAACAAACAGTCATACTGCATAAAGGAGTTGCAACTTTTTTTTTTTTTACTGAAAATATTTTCTTACAATCATCTAGATGAGGGACCTAAGAGTTCTAAATACTAAATGTTTATGGAGGAAAACTGCAGCAGGATAAGCTTCCTCTGTCCTGTTAAGCATCCTGCCAGAATTTGTCACTAATATTTAGAGAGTGAAATCAGCTACTCAAATCTGGTAAGTCAAATTAAGAGTGGGAATAGAAAAAGGTACAGCCATATTCTAGGAGACCTATTCTGGAATAATAAAGAAGAGTACCTAGCCATATGATGTGAAGCAGTTCCCAGAGCCCTCCGACCAAGAACAGACAGCCCGTAGCAAAGGGTAACCAGAGAAGAATCCTTATCTGCATTGAGTGGCTTTGAGTAAAAACAAAAACAAACATTGAAAACATTAGGTAAAGCATATAAGATGTTTGTATGTTCTATCATATAACTCAAACTGTAATTTTTCATGATTGTTTTCTACTTTCTTAAGAAAAAGAACATAGAGAGTAATACCCAAAATGGGACACACACTTTCACTTTAATAAAAGTGGCTGCAAGCCTTTATGTTCCATCATCAGCAAATGGAGTATAGTATTACTGATTAGGTTCTTGTAAGCAGTAAATTCTATTTAGAGGTAATATAAATACTTTAAACAAATACATATATGGGACCCGGCTAAGAAGTTCAACTTTCAGTGTTGTACATTCCTGACATCTCCACATTTTCAGGATTTAGATGCTCTTTGAGAGATAAGATACCATATCTTCATAGAATTCCTTAATCATTCAAAAGTACTTACTTTTTCTCTCTGGGAGCAGCAATATTCTACCCAGTTGAGATAAATTATACAAAAACTCTCTCTTGAAATCCCTGCTAGGCGATGATCATAATCCTCATCAATATTAGGATTAAATGTAGGGTCTACATCTACATAATTTTGGTCTGCACACTGCTGCAGTCCTTCCTGCATTGTTTCATTTGATAACCATTCCTCTAGCTTGGGAGAGGATATTACATAATAGATGATACCCTACAAGATAAAAAAAAGTAAAGGTATTAGAATATATATATATATATATATCTAATTGTAACCTTTAAGTATTTTTTACCAAACATACAAAGAAGGATTAAACACATCCGTTGTAGTTGTTGAACCCAACTGGGCTCAAACCACAGTAGCAAAGGAAAGGAATAGAAATGGAAGAAAACACCCAGATGTATTGTTTTTCTGTTGGTTTACAGGAGTAAATGTGAAACCATTTAGAAGAACAGTTTGCACAGTATTTATTATTTTTAATTTCTCTGGGTGGGAGGATGGAGATTTATATTTGAAGTTCAGACTCCTTACATATTCAACCCCAAAGCAACTTTGCTCACCAGTACATTTCAAGCCATTATGATTTTTTATATAGGCGCATTCTGAAAATAATTAGAATATTGGAATACAGGTAGCCCTTGACTTACAACCACAATTGAGTTTTGCTTGTCAGATGGTCGCAAAAGGTGATCACATGACCCCAGGACACTGCAACTGTCATAAATATGAGTTGGTTTCCAGGCATCTGAATTCTGATCATGTGAGGTTGCAATGGTCGTAAGTGTGAAAAATGGCCATACGTCACTTTTTTCAGTGCCATTGTAACTTTGAATGGTCACTAAATAAACTGTTGTAAGTTAAGGACCACCTGTATAGCGATAGCACAGATATTAATAGTTTGGATACAACAGCTTAGTACTCATTTGTAAAGAGGAAAGCAATTCTGCATTCCTGCATTAGAGATGTACCTTGACATAGTATGTGGTGAGTATTTTCCTTAGATCAAAGACCTGAAGCATGGAAGCAGCACTGTTGTCAGTGATGCTGTAACCCTCCAAGACATACTTTGTGACTAGAACTTCCCAAGCCAGCCAACGCTGGCCAAAGGCAGCATTAAAGGACAACACATGAGGGATATGACCAGGTTCGCAGCAACAGAACCCTTCATCTTCTTCAACCCCTTCAGTAATAGCTTCTACTTCTCGTTGCTGACAATAAGTTCCTGAAATGAAAAAAAGTAATTCTTAAAAATAGGAGCATTAACCACACCGGTTCCGATAATTCGGAAGTAATGATTTGCACTTGCTGTCTGGTAGAAAACGGATGTGTAATATTGGGATAAGGAATTAAGGACCTTCATGAGTTCATGTTCATTTAATTAGAGATGTCATAGATTTTTTTTTAAAAAAAAAATACGGTGCTTATACCATTGGAAAGGTGTCAGAAATGACTAAAATAGAATTCACTAAATGAAAGGAAAAGTAACCGAATTTTTGTTGAAATATTCGAGGAAAGTAAAGATTAAGTGATCTGAGGTTATAAAATGAACTTTGTTCAGCTCCATCAATTTTACCCAGTCTCAGAGCATCTCAATCTAAAATATTTATTAATCGAATGGACTAAATTCGATGTTACAACGTCTGAAAGTAGTACAGGAAGGTTAATGAAAAGTGCATTCACATAGATCTTACCTCTGAATTCAAGCCCTCTCAGTTGGAAGGTGACTAAGCCATTGCCAATCTCTATAAGGTGTACAAGTGCATTGAGGTAGTCGGAAGCAAGAATAAAGCAATCTCCAGTACTGTAGTTTCCCCATCGCCCCAAGAGTAAGTCTCCACACAGGCTGTGCTGAAGGGAGCGAGTTAAATGTTCATAGAAGATTGAATTCAAGTTATTGTCATCAGAACCTATATACGGGAGAAAAATAATACAATATGCACTAAAAACATAAATTTATTTTTACAATTCTACTGAAAAATCACCTCAAGATATTACAACAGACTGGGATTGATCATCACTTTAAGAGCCTTTAGCTGACTCAACCTCTGCCTTTTAGCCATATTATTTCCATTGTAGAAACATTAACATATGTAGTTCTCTTGACATCAAGGTAAATTTCTCAGCTGGGGCATCCCAAAAGTGAGAGAGATCAGGTGTTGAATCATCTCCAGGAACTCAAGATAGTATCCACATCACTTTCCTCTCTATTTTTTCTACAATAGTATTATAGAGAGATAGCCAAAGTAGAAATAAAAGATTTGCACTCTTTAGCACTTAGCATACAGGATTAACCTTTGCCCCTGCTTAAGATTAATTAATTTTTTATAGATAGTTCTCTCATATTTGGACATATTCTTTTTGAAAAGGGGAATCCAGGCAAGAAGAATATATCTGGTAGCTTAAATAGGGATTGTGGCAATGTGCAAAGAGGAATAGTCATAAGGACAGCAGCAAAATTTTGTTTTTTCCAGAAAAAAACAGGAAAAAAACATAAAAGAAAGATTCTAGACTTATTCAGATGATGAAGAAGAAATATTAGTTGTAATTTTGAGGTTGTAGTTTAGAAAAGTGTGGTTGTTGGAGAAAAAGATTGGTTGTTGGAGAAAAAGTGTTGGAGAAAAAGTGTGGTTGTTGGAGAAAAAGATTTTAATCTATTAATTGATTATAGGTAGTCCTTGACTTATGACCACAATTGAGCCCCAAATTCCTGTTGTTAAATGAGACAGTTGTTAAGTGAATTCTGCCCCATTTTACGACCTCTCTTGCCACAGTTGTTAAGTCAACCATTGCAGTTGTTAAATTAGTAACATGGTTGTTAAGTGAATCTGGCTTCTCCATTGACTTTGCTTGTCAGAAGGTTGCAAAAGGAGATCACGTGACCCTGCAACTGTCATAAAGGTGAGTTAGTTGTCAAGCATCCGAATTTTGTTCACATGACTGTGGGGAGGCTGCAACGGTCGTAAGAGTGAAAAACGGTCAGGTCATCTTTTTTCAGTGCCATTGTAACTTTGAACGGTCACTCAATGAATTGTTGTAAGTCGAGGACTACCTGTAATAGGTATCACATCATCTAAGAAGACAACTGCTAAAGATTATAGATAAAATCAATAAAACAAGGAACATATTTGAATGATTAAGGAATGTAGTATCTATGAATGAACTGTATTTATTGTAAATGAATTTCAAGTAAATTACTAACAGTATCTATAAAACAAAAGATTTTAGAGATTTATCTTCCATCATACATTTCTCAAAGAAAGAATGCTAATGTCTGTTATAAAAATATGTACATACTGTTACACATACACAATATACTTATCTATTAGAAAGAGCTCTTCCCCACCCCTAAAAAGATGCAAAATGTCATCTTTCATCAGGTTAATTTTGGTTTCCTCCAACAAAAAGGGTATGGACTAAATTGAGCCATTGCACAATTCATTCAACAGTTCCACCTGCCTACTTCCATCGATATTACCTGGATTTCTGTCAAGCTGAGAAGCCAATCTTGTGTTTGAGTGGTCCACTCGTTTTGTGCTGGAAAAAAAAAAAGACAAAAGAGTAGACTTGCTTGTACTCCTGAAATGCCTTGTAATGAAGTACTTACTTTATCTCTTTTCCTACCATTCCACCTTCCAGATAGAGGCTCATTTTTACATGCCTTATCTTAAAATAAGTAAGGGAGAAATGTATATAGAGGCTAGTATACCATAAAGCAGGGCTTTTCAATCTTTTCACCCATTGTACCACTTTTAGGATATGGCAATATCCGAGTAACACCAGTCGCCTAGCAAGGTGTCAAAAACTTGATGACCCAAATAAATAAATAAAAAATAGCTGGGGTGGGGTGAGGGTGTTTGGTTTTTATTCCCCCCGTCTGCTGGCTGGTTGCAGCAGGTTTTAGTCACTTCACATGACCTTGGGACACTGTGACCGTCATAAATATGAATCAGTTCCAAGCATCTGAATGTAAATCACAAGACCCTGGAGATGCTGCAACATTCCAGCTGATCGGCGCTTCTTCTGGGCTCAGCAGAAGCACCAGGATCAGTGCTGCTTTCCAGCTGATTGGTGCTTCTTCAGGGCTTAGTAGAAGCACCAGGATCAGTGCCAAGCTCCAGCTGGAGCTTGGTGCTGATCCTGGCGCTTCCACTGAGCCCTGACAGTCTCGAAGAAGCGCCAATCAGCTGGAAAGCAGCATTGATCCTGGCGCTTCTGCTGAGCCATGACATCCCTGCAGCTCCAGCCATCTCTCGCTCAGGCTTGTGCGGTGCTGCCACCGGTTCAGCTCATTCCCCTCCCCAGCTACCACTTTTCTAGGATGGTCGCGTACCACCTGCCAGGTGCCAATGTACCGCAGGTGGTACCCGTACCACTGGTTGAAAAGCCCTGCCATAAAGGGTTTTCCTAATTGGTGACTCCCCAAAATATTTGATTCCCTGCTTACACCATTCCTCTTACAGCACTGAAAACACAGCTTTGAACAGTGCTAGATCCAGTCATTTGTTTTTCTTCTTTCTGATAAGACAGGCTGAGCCAGATGTTTTCCGGGTGTGAAAACAGATCCTGTCTGTTTTTCAAAGTTCTGAATGACACTTTCATGAATTTTGTGGCAACCAGAAAGTTAAAAGTTTACAACTGACATTTTAGGAGGACAACACAATAAAGAAATCAAAACATTACTAAAAAGCAGGAGAAACACAGCGAATAGTTCTTTAAATTCTGGCAAGACTTGCTAGAAAGACATATCAATTCATTTTGACGAAATGAGAAGGTCTGACAGGGAAAGAAAAAAAAAGGCAGATGCCTTATTCTCCTGCACTGTAAAACTCAAATCGTTTCCACTCCTTTAAAAAGTATTTGTTAAATATTAGAAGTTCTGTAGTTTCATTTTTTTCTTAAAAGGTTTTCTGTTCAGAATAGTCAGTATCAAGGAAAGAAACATTTTTGTCCCTTTGAGATTAAAAAGATTATTTTAAATTCTAGAGTGAACCAATCCAACAACTTCATGAAGAAATATCCAATTTTTCAATGCATTACAAATATACTATACACGAAAGCCTTGGATGATTTCAGTAACACCTACTTGTAATCTCTCTCCCAGAACTTGACGGGTCTGACATATGAAGTGATAAATATTGCACTTCCCAAAAAAGGGTTCAATGGGGTAGAGAAAAAGGCAGACACGATTGCCTGGACAAACAGCATTGCAGAATCTACCGGACAATAAAGTTAAGGATGCCATAATTATGATCAAAATATCTTATTAGCAGGATAGAATGAAATTGGATATTTGTCCCCTGTTGATTTTTCTTATAACGCTGAGCACGTAAATTCGTCTTTGCTTTTTGTAGTCACTTACTGTATATTTTCTCTACTAGATTTAGATTTCAGGAGATCAAATTAAAATAAGTTTGAATTTCAAAAGGATACGAGGCACAGCAAATGGTTGGGCGAAAGCATGGAAAGCAGATCCCCATGTGATTTGCCAAGGAGCAATATAAGTGTACACAAACCTCAGTTTGTAAAAAAGTTCCCAAAGCTACAAAAGAAATCAGAAGAAAATATTTAGAAATATAAGCACCAGCAGAAGTAGCAATACAGAAGCATAATCATATGCATGGATTTTATCCTCTTGAAGCACGGGCAGAATAATGTCTCCATTAAGGCTTAAGGGAACTCGGTTTGAGGGGGCCACAGAGACCTACCCACCGCATCCCATGTTCGTGTGAAAGCACGCCCTGTTAAACCGATTAAAGACCATTGTCCGGAACAAAAATGAAGTGGAATTTTTCTGGGTTCCCTTTTAAAATTGAGGGGAAAATAACATGGTACTGCAAGGTTTATTTTACATTGCAGGACTAGAAAAATTTAAAAGGAGGGTCAATTGACACTTCTGGCAACTACATGGACGTGCCCATGTATTTTTCTTGGCAACAAACCATTTTCTTGATAATTTATGTTGGCTTCCTCTGGTATGTTTTTTTTGCAAATTCAGTTTTTGTCTACCACCCTAAGACATCCTGTTAAATCTCCAATCCAATTTTATCCAATTATCCAATTTTACTTTACATATCTAATATGTACAATTTTACTTAGCTTTCTGAGATTAGCCAACATTGACCAAAATGCACATGGGACAGCTTACCTTCATACTTGGTACCATAACAATTCCTGTTTATATATTTACTTATTAACTCATTTACAGAAACCTACATCACACTAAACCACGCACAGGAAACAATAAAATAATACCTGAAGAAGAATACCGTTTGTGCTTACATGACTTAGTTTATTCAGTGAACCATAGCTAAATAAATAACAGTTCAATATATATGAACTAGATCTGTGTTAAAAAGGTCTGCTTGAGCTTTATAAAAGTTCACGAGCAAGAAGACAGCTCAGCTACACAAAAATCCTTTCCCCCCTTTGTTCTGGCAGATGTTGAGATATTCACACTTTCTGCCAGTTGCTTGTATTTATATGGAATAGAATGGGGATGCTAATTTGACTTTACCTTGTTGAAGAGTATGGACATGAAGAACAAATCTAGCAGCATGGTCTCAGAGAATCGATTGTAATCAAATGTAAAGAAAAGCACTGTAAAAATGATAGTGACATACTGGTAGGTTGGATTGCTAAAAGATGAGCGCAGCAACTTCATACCAGCTATAGTAATCATTAAAGCACCAAGTCTGCAATGAGAAAAATACAATTTCAGATGAAACCTGAAGCCAAAAAATTCCCTTAGTTCTCCCTTTAGAAACTTCCATTAATTTCTTCTTACCTCACTCCCCTCTACTTGATTAGTTTGTTGATTATTCCCAATGAACTTATTTTCTAAAATTGCTGTTTATTAGATTTCCTTACTCGCAAGATCTTATTTGGATTCTCAGCATATGGCTATATTCTAGAGCAGGGGTGTCAAACTGCCGGCCCATGGGCCGGTTCCATCATACCGGAGCCGCGCCCACCCCATTGCTGGCAATGGCAAAAAAGCTCCGATACGTTGCACGACGTCACGAGTTTGACATGTCTGTTCTAGAGGCATTTGTAGCTTGTGGTGATGACACTAAAATGACAAAATGTGTATCTAACACCAGCTCCATCCTTTTCTCTTTGCTTTGCAATAATGTAGGCAAATCTATTAACAGGCAGAACTTGCACTGCAACTTCAATTTTGTCACTTACCCCTCAGTGGATACCCATGTATCTAGGGGCAGGGGTAGGCTACCTTGGCTCTTTTATGACTCGTGGACTTCAACTCCCAGAATTCCTGAGCCAGCCATGCTGAGGGGAAGGGAGAGGTTTCCAAGCTGAGCCATGCTGGCTCAGGAATTCTGGGAGCTGAAGTCCACGAGGCATAAAAGAGCCAAGGTTGCCTACCCTGATCTAGGGGTTATATAAAGTCTTAATCTTACCTAAAGAAATATCTAAATTGATGTATTTTTAAAAGTAGAAATTAATAAATACATACATACATGCTAAACTAATAAATACAGATGAAAGATATTACAGTGCAACAGTCAGATCACTTTGTTTCTTGGACAAGTAGAATGTTCATTCAGCCTTCATACCAACTCATTCAAATGGAGTCACAAACTTTACTTCCACCTACTTATGCTTTTTTCTTTCTTAAAACGATATATAGGAACCTCCCCCTTTTCCATTATACACCAATATTCAGTTAATAAAGTAGATTAGGTTAAAAAGTGGTAAAGGGCCTCAAGATCCTGTCAACATATGAAATGCTCTGCTGGATTAGACCAAAGGATTATCTATGGAGGTATCTCTAGGCTAGATCCAGCCCAAGTTCTCCTTTCATACCACATTTGACCTCGTTCTGTAATGGATTTGGAGAGTCATCTTGCCGACAGATAGATGGGCTAATGGATAGGGTTCTGAGTCTTTTTATATGAATTTTATGACATTCCACTGTCTTGGACAAAATAAAAAGTACCATTCATTCATGCAAATATTAATATCTGATATATCCCAATAATATGGTAGATTTCAGAAAGCAAAGAAACTAAAGGTTTGGAATCTCAGACACATGGTGTTGGAAAGGAGGACTTCATGAATCAAGTAACTTAAATCTGAGATAGGACAGGTAGAGAGTTTGTGTGGCAGTTTATAGAGATTTAGGCAAGAAAAAGTTAATGACAGATTCAAACTTTCCTTCCTAACACTAAAAGAACTTTCACAGTGGAAAAATATTACCAAGGGAAATTGTAGGCTCCCTTTCTCTAGAAGAGCTATCTGCCATTAACTTTTACTTTAATGTTTGAAACTTTAATAATTGAAAGACAAAAAGGACAAGTATAAAAAGTGGAAAGAGGGGCACATAACTAGGGCAGAATATCAGCAAATAGCCCGAGCCTGCAAAGATAAAGTGAGGAAAGCTAAGGCTCAAAATGAACTAAGGCTTGCGACAAAAGTCAAAAATAACAAAAAAAAACTTCTTTCAACATGTAAAAAAGAAGAAAAAAGTTACGGAAATTATTGATCCATTAGTGGGAGAAAGTGGCAAGAAAGTGACAAGCAACAGGGAGAAAGCAGAACTATTTAACTTGTTTTTTGCATCTGTCTTTACACAAAGGGAAAAAACAGTCCAACCTATCAAAAACAGTCCTGTAAAAAACAGATTAGAAAAACAAGTTAAGATAGGCAAGAAAATGGTAAGTGAGCACCTGTCCACCCTAGACAAGTTCAAATCACCAAGACCACATGGATTACACCCCAAGGTTCTGAAGGAACTGGCAGATGTGATCTTAGAACCATGAAAACTATATCTTTCAAAGATCCTGGAGCACTGGGAAACTACCAGAGGACTGGAAAAGAGCTGATGTAGATCCCATCTTCAAAAAAGGGGAAAAAATGGATCCAGGAAATTACAGACCTATCAGCCTGACCTCAATACCTGGGAAGATTCTGGAAAAGATAATCAAGCAAAGAATCAGCAAACACCTACAGGCAAACAAAGTCATTATCAAAAGCCAACATGGGTTTGTCAAAAACAGATCATGCCAGACAAACCTTATTGCATTTTTGACCAAGTGACAAAATTAGTGGACCAGAGGAATGCTGTGGATATAATGTACTTGGACTTCAGTAAGGCATTTGATAAAGTAGACCACAACCTACTACTTGATAAGATGGAAAAATGTGAGTTAGATAACATCACCACCAGATGGATTTGTAGCTGGCTGACCAGCCATACTCAACATGTGGTCCTCAATGGAATTGCATCTACATGGAGGGAAGTGTGTAGTGGGGTGCCCCAGGGCTCTGTTCTGGGCCCAGTGCTCTTCAACATGATTTGGATGAGGGGATAGATGGGGAATTCATCAAATTTGCAGACGACACCAAGCTGGCAGGAATAGCCAACACTCCAGAAGATAGACTTAAGATACAGAAGGATCCTGACAGACTTGTACATTGGGCGCTATCTAACAATGAAATTCAACGGTGAAAAAAGTAAGGTTCTACATTTAGGCAAGAAAAACCAAATGCACAGGTATAGTATAGGTGGTACCTTGCTCAATAGTAGTAACTGTGAGAGGGATCTCGGAGTCCTAGTGGACAATCACTTAAATATGAGCCAGCAGTGTGCTGCAGCTGCCAAAAAAGCCAACACAGTGCTAGGCTGCATTAACAGAGGGATAGAATCAAGATCATGTGAAGTATTAATACTACTTTACAATTCCAAGGCCACACTTGGAATACTGCATCCAGTTTTGGTCACCACAATGTAAAAAAGATGCTGACACTCTAGAAAGAGTACAGAAAAGAGCAACAAAGATGACTGGGAACTGGAGGCTAAAACATATAAGGAACAGTTGCTGGAATTGGGTATGTCTAGTTTAATGAAGAGAAGGATTAGGGGTGACATGATAGCATGTTCCAATATCTCAGGGGTTGCCACAAAGAAGAGGGAGTCAAGCTATTCTCCAAGGCACCTGAGGGCAGGACAAGAAGCAACGGATGGAAACTAATCAAGGAGAGAAGCAACTTAGAATTAAGGAGAAACTTCCTGGCAGTTGGAACAATTAACCAGTGGAACAACCTGCCTCCAGAAGCGGTGAATGCTCCAACCCTGGAAGTTTTAAAGAAGAGTCTGGACAGCCATTTGCCTGAAGTGGTTGGTATAGGGTTTCCTGCCTTAGCAGGGGGGTGGACTAGATGACCTCCAAGGTCCCTTCCAACTTTATTATTATTATTATAATGTCTGTACTGAGCAGCAGTTTGAACTCAGTGGCTTGAATGAGACCTTCTTATTCTACAGTTGCATGAGAGAGGTACTAAAGCATTCCTAGTGCTGAGGGTAATGAAAGGTTATACAATGGGGAAGTGAAACTAGAAACAAAGCTCCCAAACAGACACCTTTTTTCCCCAAAATGCTAATCATAATTAAAAGAAAAGTAAAATAAAGATCTACTTACTCTGTATCTAATCTCTTTGGACTAGCAATAGTTTTTGCACTGCTGCTGAGCTCATTGAGGACTACCAAGGGATAGATTATATTCTTCTCCACAAAAAGAAGCCATATATGAACTTTCTCAAACCACATAACATGTGCAGCATCTAAGAATTCAAAGAGCACATTTTGATATCAAATATTTCTGGAATATGCACAGAATATCAAGCTCAACTCTAATCTCTCTGATAGAACAGTCCCTAAGATAGCTGAACTGTCTTTCTTTATACATAGAGAGAGGAATAAGGTTTCTCTGGCAAAAAGAAAAACTAGTATGTAATTTAACTGTAGATAGATTTTTTAAATAAATGCAACTTAATTATAAAATCTCAATATATTAAGTGATAATGCAACCAATATTTAGTTAGAGATAATCTACTGCAAATTGTGCTACTTACTGCGAACTTCAAATTGATAGTATTCCTTGGTTTTCAGCAATGGATGAGAAAAACAGTGCCATGGGAGCTGTTTTCGGAGCTGAGGCAGCACATAATGGGTCATAAATCCAATTAATCCCACCAATGCATACAAAACGTAACTTAAAACAGGCTAAAAGAAAATTTTAAGAAAAAAGAATAAATCTCAAAATCAGAAAAATACAATGATCATCCCTTTCAGAATTGTGTTACTTTATTTCACTGTAAATAGCAGCTCTGGCCAAAAAGCTATCTTCTCCTCTGCATATCAGAAACATCAGAAACACATGAGGTAGTCCCATATTGGATCCTAATTACTACCCTTGATTAGGTGTATATCAGTTTAAGGGAATATGGTAACTGAAGGAAAATTGGACTAGAATTCTGCATTTTC